AAAATGCAGAATGTGGTGGCAGTTTGAATTGATAACCTGTTATACTTATTAATTGAAATAATATGCAATTCATCTCTGCGGTGTAAGATGGGAAATGTATATACAGGCATGCATTAGAGAAATTCAGAAATTTTATAGGAAATAGTACACATTACTTTAAACAGAGCAGTTGCTCTCTTACTCTTGTATCAGGGAGAATAAAAGTTTATTGTGTAGAGGTTTAGGTGCCAAGAAGGTGGAAGATGATGTCTGACCTTAATGCTTTTATTCAGCTGATGATCTTTATTTCCACTTTTACACTTCTTTTCTGAAGCTGCCATGTGACTGCATTAATTTTGAATTTGTATTTCTCTCTCTACCCTTGCTAAGAAATACACCATGGGACTTCAGTTTTGTAGTGAAATATTGCTCTAGGATAAGATTAGATATCTGTTCTATCCATGAGAACTTTCATGTGAGAGAATGGGCTCTGAGTTTGCATATGATATGCACAGACGATGTTGTACTAGATTCTGGATGGAATATTTAAAGGTATTAGACAAAATTCCTCATAAACTTCAAAAAAGTAGCAAAAGTATTTTATCCAAAATTACAAGATGCAATGTAACTGAGACGACTTACTATTTGTAGTTTTATGTATTAAACTTGTTTTATTTAGTAAAGCTTTCAGCACATCATAGAGAATTCTTTTTCCCTATTACAACTGTTACTGGATTAAAGGATGCATGAATGCTTGAAGTAAAGGGTGTGCTTAAATATTTTACTGAATTATAGTCTTGACTTGGTGTGACTGTGAAGTCTTCCCTGAGTAAACTACTAGCAGTGAATATAAACAGTAAATAATTCAGATTTGTACACAGTTCCTCCCTACAGACACTAAATGGCTTTTTTCTTCATCTACTTAGTTTCCTGTGTTAAGATGTCAAGCAACTGTTTAACTTCTTTTAACTTATATGGCAAAGCCATTTTTTTTACCATGCCTGTTTAATTATAAATAATGTTTATCTCGATTATAAAAAAACCCAAAACAAAACCCAGAAGACCGTGAAACCCGAACTTGTTTCAATGTGTTTTGATGTTTTAATTTTAAGCAAGGCCCCCTGTCCATCTCATGCTGAAGCAGTGCAGAGCAACTGTTACATGTGCGAATTGATTTACATCTGATAGATTTTGCCAATAATATCCCTATTCTCTTTATAATCATACCTGGGAACTGTACCACTGTTGCTAACCCAGAGCCATTATTCTGCTGTTACACATTTGTACCAAGTATACACAACGGGGTTTTTTTCTTTATTTTCTTTCTCAACCTAATTCTCTGTCCTTCATGCCATCTGTTGTTCAAGGGTTTATTCTGATTCTGGTGTATCTGTATTTAAAATAAGCAGAAGATGCTTTAACTGAGGTGTCCTTGAACTATCAGTTATCACAAGCTGTCAAGCATAAAACTTAAAACCTTTAGGGCTAGGTATAGAGTATATTGTTTCCTAGGAGACAGTAACATCCTTGAGTGGGGCTAAAAACAGCCTTACAAAGCATCTGATATTTGGCTAAGCTAGGACTTTATCTGGATGGCTATAATACCTTACTTCACTATTTTGTTTATCTGAATATCTGTGGAGAAGCATTTTGAGATGGTGTATTAATGGTGCATTCTAACAATAACATAATATTAAGCAATGTAGAGATGTCAACTCCAAACCCATCACAGTGTTTTAAGAAAAAAAACACCAAAAACCAAACATATTTTCAAAATATTGCCTACATTGAGTACTGAATTAAAAATCAGTGTAATAACTGTAATCACAAAGACCACATTGTATGAATTAAACAGTGTTGTTAGGCTTCTCAGACTATGGAGCATTCTAATGGGATTTTTTGGGCCACAATGAATATGTGCCATTCTTGTGCTTTTGGGTTCTTCCCCTTCTTTCCCACCTCATTGAAAAATCAAAATCCAAGTAACTGAACTAAAATGTCTGATTGTTCTAATATTCTGGGGTTCTTTAATCTGCAATTGCAAATGAGTCTCAGAGTATCAGGTGCTGGACTGATTTTATCCACCACATTTGGTAAGCCCCTTTTTAAACTCGGAGGCCAAAAATTTGGGCTTTTTTATTCTCTTCCCTACAAATACTTAATACCCCTTACGTACCTTCTGAATTGCTGTTTTGCCTTCAGGCAGAACAAATGGTATAGGAGAGCTTATATCTGTCTGTTGATGGGTTTAAAGTAGCTTTTTGTAGCCAGTAATGGGACATTGAACTCCTTCACACTTTTTTTCACCAGAATTTTACTCTTGCATTGTGAAGTTTCCCCTTGTCACCCTATCATTTCAGGTAAACTTTTGGATAGTCCAGCTCCGAACCAGTGTGCAGTGATGGCAATTACTGTCAGTCATCTAGGAAAGCAAATCAGTGACAGAAAAGAGTTTTAATGTGCTTATGATAATTTCTAATGCTGTGAGACTTATATATGACATTTTTTTTGTACAAAAGGAACTCCTGAGGCCTACTGATTATCCAAAAGCTGGACTTCCTTTTTTATTTTTACTTTTTTTAATCCTTATCTTCTAAGCTCTCTATTTCTCTCCTTCTCATAAGAAATAGTCTGGTTTTATTTGAGGTCTTTTACAGAAATTAGCCAACAGCTTTTTACATGACCACCTGATCCCTAGCTAATCAGTGTGAGCTGCAGGGTGAGAAAGCAAGCAAACAAGAAAGCTGGGAGAAATATTCATAGGATTCATAAAAGCCCACAAGCCTCTGTTCATGCCCTATGTGTTTTATTTCATGCTTTTTTATATAGTGTTAGGAAAGAGTCACACTTCACAATTTCTAGTGCACTTCATGGCCCAACTTACTGTATAAGTGCAGAAGCAATTTATAGACTGCAATTGGTCAAACACTTCTACAGTGCAATATGAGAAGGTTCAGCCCATTTCTGAGTTGTTCTAGATAACAACCAAGATAGCTATTCTTTTGGCTTGTGCACAGTGATAGTGCACCATGTTCAGTGAGTAAGACTGGAAGTCTACTTTAGAAGTACTTGCTTTCAGTGTCACTAGCAGGGGATAATATGAAGAAACTATAGGACTATGAAAAATACTCATCTCCTGAATAGCCAAATGAACTCCTTTAAGAAAAGCTAAGAATCCACTTTTCTTCATACAGGGTGAATAGCTGGAATAGACATACAGTTATATTGCACAAACATCAATTAGCAATAGCATGTTTTTATCATATAGTTAATTTATTCTGGAATTTCCATTATATTTGTAACTACCTGGATAAATGTCCTATTAAAAGCAAATTAAAATTTTAGAATATGTACTACATATGTGCTATCTATTTAGGATATCTGCTACAAGAGGGGCTAAAATTTCTATGTCTTCGGGGTTGAACAACATTAGCTTATTGTTACTGTATTATGAAACAGACTTCATATGATTGTACTGTTGAATTTTAAGTAGCACTCTGACTCATCAGCTGCCTCTTTAAGATTATGGTTCCTCCTCGTGCTTAGTATGAAATCATAAGGACTCATGTAGAAGCTTAGTCTCAGATTTTGTATTTTGTTAGTATGTTATGTGCATTTGGGGACGTTTAAAAAAAAATAAAATGGCAAGGTACCTGTTAGCAGTGAAATAGCATAAACAGAGAGTTTCCTTATAGAAACTTTTTCCCTTGTAAGTAACCTTATTTTCTTTAAGAATTTAAATGAAATTGCAATTATATGCACAAAGTTTTTAAATATTATTTTATCTGAAAAAATCTAAAATTTAGTGGCTTTAGTTGCATGTTCTATGTTTTTAATATTTTATGCTTGTACAAGATGAAATAGAGCAATGAGAGAGGCTCACAGGCTTTAAGAATACCACTGGATGTTTCTATCATCTTACAGTCACTTTCTCTTCATCCCCTCCTGCAGCTGCTCCTGATTAGCTGAGGGTCAGATGGTCATTTATCAAATCTAGCTGGGAAGTTGATAAATGTCTCTAAAAGAGCTCAGGAAGAAGGGGGTATTTTCTTATAAGTGGGCCTGGAGGGAGAAAGACAGAGAGGTTATAAGCTGATCAATTGGATGTAGAAGAAAGTGTATCTTCTTGGGAACCTGAGTAGGCATGAAGGGCTTAGAAACTCTGAAGTGTTCATCCTCTGAAAGAATAAGAAGAATAAAAATAATTGAGAAGTGAAGGCTTTTGTGTTTTGATTTTCTTTGAAGTGTTTTTGTGTGTTCTCTACTCTTTGACTGGAAGAGATAGAGGTATAGTTTGCCTGAGGTATGTACTAAGCAAGCCAAGTGACTGATGATGAGAAATAACTTGGGAATAGAAAGCTGGAATAGAAGACCTGTTCTTTGCCAGGGAATGAGCAGATAATTTCTTTAGGGAACAAAAGTGACCACTTTCTGAAAACAAATCAGCAGTGCTGAGACGTTAGAAGCACTGAGTACATCTGGCTGGTCCCTTCAAGTTCAAGGGTGCTCGAGGAGCCTAGAGCAAAACATTTGGTTTCCTTGCTATTTGTTTTTGAAAGTTGGACACTCTAAACTTCAATGCAAAAGTCAGTTTTGGAAAAGGGGGTGGGGGGTTGGAGGGTTGCTCTGGCTGCTGAAATACAGAGTAACTGAGTAATTATGTTACTCATATCAATCAGAAGGAGAATGGCTGAAACTGACCCATTTGTTTATGACTGCTATGAAAGCTTGATTCTGATGCAAAAAAGTCTTAGCTTAATCCGCATTTTTATATATAAAATGCTTTAAGCTTACTGTGTCTCTTGAAAGAAGGAAAGTTAAATGAATTGGGTGAATTCAGAGGGGCCTTCAAGTCCCATTATTTGTATCTACTTCATATTTTTATATTGCAATTACCAAAAATTCCTTAGAGATGTTCCAGATGCAGTATACTAATTGAAATTCAATCTAACTTATTTTTGTCTTTGTAGTCCATTTTGTGCTGTCAGTTTAAGGCAAATAATTGTATTTTTTCTTTGTAGGGAAAGGTGAACATGGAAAGCCATACCCTCTTACAGAGGAAGACCATGATGATTCTGCATATAGAGAAAATGGCTTCAACATATTTGTTAGCAACAACATAGCACTGGAGCGATCCCTGCCAGACATCCGACATCCTAAGTACGTACTTTTTTTTTCCTGGATTATTTGATTTTAAGTTTTTATCTTTGTAAATCTCTAAATAACCTGTTTTTCTGGGAGATCAGTCATGAACCCTCAGGCAAAAAATTGTGCCCCTTTCTTTAAATAGGAAATGGAAAGCTTATCACCATTGTTAAATCATTTGCACTATCTGTCTTAAAAAATTGCCTCTTATTTTATTAGTAACACATCAAGACTATAGGAGGCCTCTCTTAATTACAAAATTGTTTTCATGGCATTTCTGGGTAGTGATTTTTTAGGCAGTGATAAGTAACATTTTACAGTTTTTCAGGTTTTTATTTGGTAATAGCTGATCTTTCCTTTTTGGGCAGCATGACAAGTTGCATGAAAGTTTTGGCTAAATGTTTGGACCAGTGTTTCCAAAATGTTTCTTTTGGTTTGTTACATAAGAAGTGAAAGCAACCTAGTAGCTACAGCTTATTGGGTGCTGATAGCGCAGATAATGAGCGTAGAATTATGGAAGAGAATGAGCCGTGATGAAATATATGGGCAGAATTTGGTGGGATTGGATGATGGTGTTGTTCCTTAATAGCAGTAATATCCTACAGAGAAACAGGATAAAGACTATTCTGGAAAATAACCAGTGAGCTAAAATTGGTCATGCAGTTCTCAGCAAACATAACTTTTCTGTAATTTTGTCTCACATGTACAAGAAGTAAAGCTTTCTGTCTGCAACAGGAAAGGTCATGTATGCCTTTCTAGGCTTCAGGCTCTAATCCTCCAGAGTCATTCTGACCTCTGAAGAGAGGGATGGTTTAATTTGTCTCTTTACATGGCATTTCTCCCCCTCTTTTAATTGGGTGTTATGCAACTAGTCAAAGGGGGAAAGGTACAGGAGTGTGACAAAACTAATTTTTTCCATGACTAGGTTTGTATTTTCCATTGGATACAATCCCCTTTATTATACAGTATGTTTCTGGTTAGGATAGCTACTTACTTCTTAACCTGTACGATTTTGCTGTGTGAATAACTGAAACTCTTCAGGGAGCTGAACAGAACTTGAGAGCTTGACAGACGTTCTTAAGGAGGGAAGATAAGAAAAAGAGATATCATGGCAACTAACACGTGTTGTTCTGACAGATGTGGAGCTGTCCTTTTCAAAGAATGAACAGCATATGAATGTTTGCATAGTAAGATTTTAAAAAGTAATTCTCAGTGGAGGAATTAACAAAATATTTTAAAAAAATCTTTTGTTGGAGGTGTTTTGTATTTAATTGCCATGTATCATTGTTTTGAGAAAACACTGGTTAGAATTAAGTCAAAGAACTTTTTCTAACAAGCTGTGTATTTTATATATTTTGCTTGCCTTGTACTTTACCAAGATACCTGAAATTATTTGTAGAAAGAATGTTTCCAAAATGTTTGAGGTTTAATGCATAGCTGTACAGCATCACAGCTGTGCTAAATTATGTTGTTGGTGTAATAATATGCTCATCAATCATCATGTCTTAGCAAAACTGCAGAGGACTATTACTAAATACAAAAGGAAGCCGACGTTTATCCTACCTTAGTGTTTTTATAAGTTGGTCTTCTGGCAACTTGTTTCTCACCCACTACTGTCCACACAGTCAATGACATTTCCATGCAAGTCCCCAGAAGCATTGGGAGTGATGTGTCGTCAGAAGTGACATATTAGGAGCAAATCAGTGCTACATCAGTCCTTCTCTGCCACTCTTCCCCCTGCACAAACCCTTTAGTGACTTTCACATAAGCATCTTGTTTGGCAAGTGTGAATCCTTGGTATCTGCATCTTTTTCATTTTCCAATTCAGCTAGGTTCCTATACCATTCAGTGAAGTCTCATATGGTAGATGTTTTAGTAGTGTCCTGAGTGAGCTGACTTGCATCATGTCCTTCTAACCTTCCTTATGTTAAAGACTTGTAACACAAGTAGTCCAGTAGTTATCATCAAAATACAGTGATAAAAAATGTTTTTTTGCTAAATTTGTGTGCTAAGTATTACACTGATAAAATTACAAAGCTTATAACCTATACTTCTGGTGGTTACACCTTGAAGCAAGTCTATCTTAAACTTCCGAGACACTACTGTCAGAAACAAAGCAATCTCTCAGCTGCTGTGTGTTAAGTATGATGCAGGCCAATCTCAGACTTCATTTCACTTAGAGACTGCATGTCCTCTCTTCAGAAGCATGTGTGAAATGGAAAGTAATTAACAGCTTGTAAGGTTTCTTTCAGAAAAGCTCACTGGAAAACTATATAGCTTCTATGCCACAAAAGGGTGTTCTTACTGAAATGAGTGCAGCTAATTCAGGTGAGGTATAGCAGGCAAATTTAATTTTGTCAGCTTCTGAGTGTTATAAAGGGCTTTTCATTTGTGGAGCTTCTAACTGCCATTCAGCTTTTAACTGTCTTCTTTTGCATGTTTGGGGGATACTGTTATGATATGGACATGGAGGTTTTGATTTTCTGTCTAGTGTGTACCATTTGCACAGGGGCCTACCTGTGCCAAGGACTAACATTTCTGAAAATGTTGTCTAGGATTTGTTTAAAAAAAACAAATAGAATGGGTTTATTGCTCTCAGTAGAGGAAGTTCTCAAACCTTCAAATACAACAAAAACGGAATGATCAATCCTGCAATTTGGATCAAAATTTATTTAAATTTTAAAAGCAGCTACGGGAGTTTCTACATTTCTCTGAAATAATTTCATCAAAACTATTTATTCCAAAATCGTAGACCAAAACAGTTTCAAGTCCTATTTCTAAGTGTCTGGTTTTCTTCAAAGTATGCAAAGATGGCAGATAACCAGACCTTGCTCTGTCTAATCCAAATTAACTTTCTCCGTCTTGGTCTCTTAGGAAATCAGCCTTGGGATTTGCAAACTATATCTTCTGGGAGGTGGATGGGTGTAACTGAACAAATGCGTGGATGATTGCGCTTTAAGAAATTCAGTTTTCAATTTTTTTTACAATCTTTTTTTTTTTCTTTATGTGTGATATTTAAAGCACTTCAGCAAGATGTATTCAGATTGGTGCTTCTTTCCTTTTTAAGACAGTAAAATGTGTGTGTTGTGAAAATCCCTAGAGAAATAAACCAGTTAACTTCTATTTTAAGGCTGACTTAACAGCTTTCCTGTGTGCTTAATGGATTCTATTGCATCTCTCTGATACCTCTCAGTGTTTTTTCTCTCATAGCTATACTTGAAGAATTTATTTTATTTTTTTTCTTCATTTAGAAACATAGAATCATAGAATAGTTAGGGTTGGAAAGGACCTTTAAATCATCAGGTTCCAACCCCCTGCCATGGGCAGGAACACCTCACACTAAACCATCTCACCCAAGATGTCCAACCTGGCCTTGAACACCGCCAGGGATGGAGCATTCACAACTTCCCTGGGCAACCCATTCCAGGGAATTTCCTCCTTATAGCCAACCTAAACTTCCCCTGTTTAAGTTTGAACCCATTACCCCTTGTCCTATCACTACAGTCCCTAATGAAGAGTCCCTCCCCAGCATCCCTATAGGCCCCCTTCAGATACTGGAAGGCTGCTATGAGGTCTCCACGCAGCCTTCTCTTCTCCAGGCTCAACAGCCCCAACTTTCTCAGCCTGTCTTCATACGGGAAGTGCTCCAGTCCCCTGATCATTCTTGTGGCCCTTCTCTGGACTTGTTCCAACAGTTCCATGTCCTTTTTATGTTGAGGACACCAGAACTGCACACAATACTCCAGCTGAGGTCTCACAAGAGCAGAATAAAGGGGCAGGATCACCCCCTTTGACCTGCTGGTCACACTCTTTTTGATGCAGCCCAGGATACGGTTGGCTTTCTGGGCTGTGAGTGCACACTGAAGCCGGCTCATGTTCATTTTCTCATCGACCAGCACCCCCAAGTCCTTCTCCACAGGGCTGCTCTGAACCTCTTCTCTGCCAAACCTGTAGCTGTGCCTGGGATTGCTCCAACCCAGGTGTAGGACCTTGCACTTGGCATGGTTAAACTTCATGAGGTTGGCATCAGCCCACCTCACAAGCGTGTCGAGGTCCCTCTGGATGGCATTCCTTCCCTCCAGTGTATCAACCGAACCACAAAGCTTGGTGTCATGTGCAAACTTGCTGAGGGCGCACTCAATCCCACTGCCCATCTCAGAGACAAAGATGTTGAACCGGTCCCAACACCGACACCTGAGGGACACCACTTGTTACTGGTCTCCAGCCGGACATTGAGCCATTGACCACAACTCTTTGCATGCGGCCATCCAGACAGTTCTTTATCCACCGAGTGGTCCGTCCATCAAATTGATGTCTCTCCAATTTAGAGACAAGGATGTCCTGTGGGACAGTGTCGAACGCTTTGCACAAGTCCAGGTAGATGACATCAACTGCTCTACCCCTGTCCATCAGTTCTGTAGTCCCATCATAGAATGCCACCAAATTGGTCAGGCAGGATTTCCCTTTAGTGAAGCCATGCTGGCTGTCACCAAGCACCTTGTTGATTTTCATGTACCTTAGCATGCCTTCCAGGAGAATCTGCTCCAAGATTTTGCCAGGCACAGAGGTGAGACTGACTGGTCTGGAATTCCCAGGGTCTGAGGTTTTGTCTTGTTTCTATCCCACTCATAGTGGGTGCTCTTCCCAAGTTACATTAGCTAATTCTCTGTTCTTTGCCTATAATCACCCCCTGGCTTTAAGTTAAAAAAAGAAAAAAATCCAAACAATCAAAGCATTCATTATTTTTTCTTTCTATAATTCAAATAAAAATCTGAAACAAGATAATCAGGTCAGTTCATCAGATTTCAGGACTGATTTAGTGAAATTAAGAGTTTTCATCACCTGAAGTGGAAGGCAATTTTATGAGGTTTGGAGAGTACTGAGGGTTGGCAATGGAATTGTTGTTGAAAATAAGTTCCGTACCAGTATGAGAAATATTTCAAAACCCACAAGAAGAGTGTTTTGATTTTTTTCTTTTCACCTGTCCTGTGCTACTTTCTGTAGTCTGGAATGCA